GGGGCATATGTGAGCAGTTGAGGCACCTGATACCCTCAGGGTTTGGGGTTTTTAAAAAAGATTTATTTACTTATTTGAAAGGCAGAGTTACAAAGAGACAGAGGCAGAGAGAGAGTGTGTCCATCTGCTGGTTCACTCCTCAAATGGCGAAACAGTCAGAGCTGGGCCAATCCGAAGCCAGGAGCCAGGAGCATCTTCCCGGTGTCCCACGTGGGTGCAGGGGCCCAAGCTATCTTCCACTGCTTTCCCAGGCGCATCTTCAGGGAGCTGGGTGGGAAGTGGAGCAGCTGGGACTCAAACTGGCACCCCTGTGGGTGCTGGCACTGCAGGCGACAGCTTTACCTGCTACGACACAGCGCCGGCCCCACCCTCAGGGTTCTTCACAGGGGCTTTGGCATTTACCCTGACAGCCAGGGAGGCCAGAGTGATGAGCACTGGCGTGCTGCTTTAGAGGGACCCCTCACTGCTCTGTAGACAGCCTGGGCTGGAAGCAGGGACACAGGTGGGGCTACAGCGCTTAGCCCTTTAGAGGGTGAAGCTGGCTTGACCCAGGCTGGCGACAGTGAAGGCGGCGAGAATAGGGACAGAGATGCCGGGCCAATAGGATCTGCTGAGGAAGCAGGTGTGTAGGACGGAGCTTAGGGATGAGTGGGAGGCTGCTGGGCTGAGGTCCGGAAGCCTAGGGCTGCTGTTTTCTCAGGTGGCTGAGAGGCAGTGGAGGGCTGGTTTCTGTACCCTGTGGGCATCGAAAGGCAGCTGGGTGTGTGAGGTGAAGGGAACCGGAGCCCCAGATGTGGGCGTCCGAGGACTGGGCCTGGGCCTGGGCCGCAGGGAGAGGCTGTGGATGAGGAACTAGCTCAGAACCCCCAGAAGGAGCGGTTGGCCCGACAGTGGCAGATAGGAGAGAGTGCTTCCCGGAGGCTGTGAGTGAGTGAGACAGACAGACGCAGATGCCTCACGAACACCACCAGGTGGTCAGAGGAGACAGGATCGCCTGCTGGAGTTAGCCACGGCGGGGTGGTCTTGAGAGGAGAAGATTGGATTTCAGAGACCGAGTGTAGATTCGGAGAGTGTTGCTCAACGGTTTTGATTTTATTCCCATGGGAGCTGGCTACACACACACACACACACACACACACACACACACACACGTGAGGGTTTTTTTTTTTTTTTTTTTTTTTTTTTGACAGGCAGAGTGGACAGTGAAAGAGAGAGAAAGGTCTTCCTTTTCCGTTGGTTCACCCCTGCAGTGGCCGCTGCGCACCACACTGATCCGAAGCCAGGAGCCCGGTGCTTCTCCTGGTCTCCCACATGGGGTGCAGGGCCCAAGGACTTGGACCATCCTCCACTGCAGTCCCGGGCCACAGCAGAGAGCTGGACAGGAAGAGGAGCAACCGGGACAGAACCCGGGGTGCCAGCGCCGCAGGCGGATGATCAGCCTAGTGAGCCATGGCGCCCGCCAAGGCAGTGGTTTTAATGGCAGAGGACCCCGGCTCTGGTCTGAGACAGGGCAGTGAGGATGGGAATGGGCCAAGGGACGGTGACAAGGTGGTCAGAACAGGGCTGTGAGGCCGGCGCCGCGGCTCACTAGGCTAATCCTCCACCTTGCGGTGCCGGCACACCGGGTTCTAGTCCCGGTCGGGATGCCGGATTCTGTCCCGGTTGCCCCTCTTCCAGGCCAGCTCTCTGCTGTGGCCAGGGAGTGCAGTGGAGGATGGCCCAAGTGCTTGGGCCCTGCACCCCATGGGAGACCAGGATAAGTACCTGGCTCCTGCCATGGGATCAGCGCGGTGCGCCGGCTGCAGCACGCTGGCCGCGGTGGCCATTGGAGGGTGAACCAATGGCAAAGGAAGACCTTTCTCTCTGTCTCTCTCTCTCACTGTCCACTCTGCCTGTCAAAAAAAAAATTAAAAAAATTAAAAATAAAATAAAAGAACAGGGCTGTGGGTTCTGGTGGGATCAAAGGAGCGAAAGGTTGAGGTGTTAGGGAAGATCCGAGGCAGTGGCCAGAGTGGGCCGCTCGAGGTCCACCTGTAGCACCGGCGTTAGCAGGAGTAAGGGCTGGAGCGGCCGGATGGGGTGGGCCTGGCAGGTCCGCTTAAGAGTGTGGTGTGCGTGGCTCCATCGCAGAACCAGATGTACTTTCTTTTATTTTTTTTTTCAAAGATTTATTTACTTATTTGAAAGGCAGTTACAGAGAGGCACAGGCAGAGAGAGGGAGAGAGGTCTTCCATCTGTGGTTCACTCTCCATATGGCCACAACGGCCAGGCTGGGCTGATCCAAAGCCAGGAGCCAGGAGCTTCTTCTGGGTCTCTGTCACGGTGCAGGTGCCCAAGCACTTGGACCATCTTCTACTGCTTTCCCAGGCCACAGCAGAGAGCTGGATGAGAAGTGGAGCAGCCAGGACTCAGACCAGTGCCCACATGGGATGCTGGTGCTGCAGGCTGTGGCTTTACCCGCTACGCCACAGTACTGGCCCCACAACCAGATGCACTTTCACAGAGCAAGCCATGAAGAGTGAGCTTGGAGCAGAGGGGCAGTAAATTGACAACTGGCACAGCAGCTGAGGCCCAGAGAAGTGGAGTAATGGGCATTAGGTCTCAGCCAGGGAGCAGCAGAGCCAGGATCCCAGCACAGGCCGTCTGCCTCCCTGCAGGAGACAGCTGAGCTGGCCTTGAAGGCTGCACAGGCGTTGCTTGCTTAGGCAGGGAAGGGAGGAGGAGGGGGTGGGCAGGTTTCTGTTCTGACCCAGCTGGGGCTGGAGGGGCCAGGACCTCTGGACCCAGAGTCAGAGTATGGGGCCCTGTGGCCTGAGGGCTCTCCCAGATCCCCTTGTAGAGCAGATAAGGATGAGCTCTTGGGGACAGGGGCAGAGTGTTGTGGGGGCCGCTCTGGGCAGTGAGGTGGGAGGTCACGGGGGTTAGTCCTTGCTGTGCCTTCCACTTGCTGTGTGACTTGAGCACTGCACTTGCCCTCTCTGGGCTTCACCTCTGGGATTTCCCACCTTCCCCAGGAGTGGCTGACTTGCTCTATCCCGATGGACAGATCATTCCACAAGGTGGAGCTCTTACTTTGGTTTTAATGTCTTCCTTGATCAAACATTTATCAAATTTTCCCTAAGAACAAATAAAAGGGGTGTACTTTGTAACACAGCTGCCTGAGTTTTGGGTACTATTGCATTTCATATTCTGGCATGGCTCATTCATTTGTTTAAAAAAAAAAAACAAACAGCCATTGAGTGTTATTGAGAAGTTCATGGCACAGGGGTGAGCAGTACTGGACATCTTTCTCCTCTCTTCTTAGGGGGCAGCAGGCAGGAAGGGGTTAACCCAGGGGAGAGGTGCTGAGAAGGAATCTGCATGAAGTCAAAGGGAGCAGGAGTCCCGCAGGTCCTGAGGGCCCTGGCAACTGAGCTGAAACTAACGGGGCCTGAAAAGAACACTGTGGGTGAGGCACAACAGGTGCCAAGAGGGAGGGCACAGGGACTCCAAGAACCCCTCCGGAAGGCAGGACTATGGGGTGGGAGGATGGCCAGACCCAAGTGCCATGAGGAGAGTGACCGGAGAGGGGTCCTTGGGAGCTCCGAGTCACCTGGGAGAGGTGGGGTGGTGACCATCAGAGGCAGTAGAAATGGAGAGAAGGGAGACTGACGGGCAGGGGTAGACGTTTAGCCTAGCGGTTAAGTTGCCTGTGCCTCGGTTCGAGTCTTGGCTGCAGCTCCTGATTCCAGCTTCCTGCCAACAGACCGCTAAGGCAGTGGTGATAGCTCCAGTAACAGTCCCTGCCACCCGCGTGGGAGACCCCAGTGGTGCTCCTTGGCCCTGGCTTAGTCCCAGCCACCCCAGCAGTTTCAGGCATTTGGGGAATGATTTAGTGGATGGGGGCTCCCTGTGTCTGTTGATCTCTCTTTGTCTCTCTGCCTCTCAAACAAATCATTTTTAAATTTTTTTTTTTTTTTGACAGGCAGAGTTTGAGAGTTATAGACAGTGAGAGAGAGACAGAGAGAAAGGTCTTCCTTCTGTTGGTTCACTCCCCTAATGGCCGCCACGGCTGGCGCTGCACCGATCCGAAGCCAGGAGCTGGGTGCTTCCTCCCGGTCTCCCACGCGGTGCAGGGCCCAAGCAATTGGGCCATCCTCCACTGCCCTCCCGGGCCACAGCAGAGAGCTGGACTGGAAGAAGAGCAACCAGGACTAGTACCCGGTGCCCCAACCAGGACTAGAACCGGGGGTGCCAGCGCCGCAGGTGGAGGATTAGCCAAGTGAGCCACGGAGCTGGCCTCAAACAAATCATTTTAAAAAATGAGACAAGTCTTGGACTCAGTGTGGAAGAGGGTGGTGGGGTGGAGGGGGCCTTCGTTTCCGCCCTGCTCCCCTGGACCGGAGTGTGAAGCACCACTGTTCATCAGGACTTTGGGGAGACGGAGCGATGCCAAGTGGAGGGTGTATCTGGGACAGCCTCGTGGAGGTGTCCGGGAGGCGTTTAGTTGTGGCATGCAGGCCTCGGGGGGTAACCTTGCCACAGAGGCGAACAGATACTGTGGGTGGGGTGAGCCACTCTGGAGAGCACGGAGGGAGAAGAGCTCCAGGGTTGTAGCTGGAGATGCCCGGGCAGGAGTCCTTGGCCTTTGGCCCGCCCCGGCTTGGCCCATGTTCCCATCTCTTCCTCCACCGCCTGATCGGGGTCTGTGCTTTGATTCTCCGCCCGCGTACACTCTTGGCCTGGCGGCTGCAGCTTGTCCACAACAGTGGTCCACTGGATCTGGGCCTGTGACTGCCGCTCGGCCCTGCCCCCCGAGGAGGCTGCGTGTGGTGTTTTAGATGCTCCACACAGGGAGGTTCACACCCCTCTGCAGCCCCTTGAGCCATCTCCATGTCTGGGCTCCCAAGGGCAGGGCCTGGGTCCGGGCCACCTTTCTGCCCCACAGCTGGCCAGCAGCCTAGCCCAGGGCAGAGTCGTTGCTGCCAACAGGCTAATCAGAGGCTCTGCTCTCCCCTCAGTTCCTTCCCAGCACCGACCCCTTCCAGAAGGCCCTTCGAGAAGAAGAGAAACGCCGGAAGAAGGAGGAGAAGCGGAAGGAGATTCGAAAAGGCCCAAGGATCTCGCGATCTCAGTCTGAGTTGTAGCCCTGAGGCAGCTCGGGGTGGGAGGCGTGGGAGGCAGCCAGCTGTGTGGCCGTGGCCTGGCGGCATCGACCTGCTGTGGACGCCGGTCCCTTCTGGGTGGGGAAGCCGCGCTTGCTCGGCCCCTCAGTGCTGAGCGCGAGCCTTGCTGAAGCTGTGCTTCGTGGACTGGATTTCCTCCTCGGGGCCTCCCTGGCGGGGGCACTAGGGCTCTCCGAGGACACCCTGGGGAGAGTCCTGCAGCAGGCAGGAGAGGCGGCTGGCCATTGTGGGAAGCAGCAGAGCCAGGTCTCCAAGCCACAGGTGAAGGTGCTGCGTCTGCTGCCAGCCCCCGGTCACCCAGCGTCAGCACCAGTCCCCGCCCCTCTGCAGACCCAATAAAAGCCCCCAAACCTTTCAACCAACCGAGGCTGGTGAGGGGGCTCTGAGGGGACCAGGGGTCCTCAGGGATGCTGAGACAGCTTGGATGATGGCCCTGCCTCGCCAGAAACCCCAGGCCTTAGCAGGGCTTGGCCTAGGCCGCCTGTTCCATCCTTAGCATAGTCCCTGATGAAGGATCAGGGCTGGGAGGGGCTCCTGGCTCCTGGGGGTGGGTGTAGCCCGCGAAGGCCTTGGGGACAGTTATTGGCGCCTGGTGCAGGGGAGTCAGCTTGTCCTCTGGCTGCACTGGAAGACCCTGGACCTGTAGGTGGGAGCTGCCCTGAGCTGGACTAGCGCCCACCTCAGACCTGCAGCGCAGGTCAGGGAAGCAGCAGGAGTCAGGCCCTGAGTGTGCAGCCTGGTACTCAGGCAGCTGCCATTCAGTCCTGCCCCGCCCAAGCAGAGAGGGTGAGGCTTCCCTGGGAATTCTGGGTCTGCCCCTTTGACCTTACCAGGTCAGGGTCTGCCTCTTAAAGGGACAGAGCACATGAGCGTCCCCAGATGTGTCCTGGCCTCCCACCGACTCATGGGAGACCTGGGTCTTAGCCCATCAGACTTGCTGGCTGACCTGATGCACCCCTTCCTTCACTGTGTGTGCTTTCACTAGCAAAGTGAATTTGATGATGTCAGAATCCCCAGCCTAGCCCTAACCTACTCTGAGGCTGACCTTGCTTCTCTTCGCACAGCAGAGGGAAGGGAGGCCTCATGAAAGGGCTGGAACATCCTGCACCCCATCAGTCACTCAGGAAAAAATAAGGGGACAGGAAGCAGCTGGAAGAGAGCGGGGGCAGGGACCGGGGCGGAGGGGGTGGAGAAGTTTTCCCATCAAAACTTCCCACCAGCCACTTGGGGCAGGGGAGGCAGGTCCATCCCCAGCTCTGTCCTTCCAAGCTGGGCGACCCTAGCCACATTTCTGTGAGGGTTACATGAGATGGTGGACATGAGTTTGTGACCCAGAGGGCTGGCCCTGGAAAAGGGATCAGACCTACTGTCAGCTGCTGGACCTGTCCTGGTGCTAGCAGGTGAGCCGGGGGCCCAGCAGGTGCAGGCTCTTCCTCCCCATCATGTGTCGTGAGTGGCTGTGGCTGCTGACTGTAGGGAGTGCATAGCCTTGCCCTCAACTGGAGGGAGAGCTTTCTAAGAGCCAGGCCTGCTTGGCGGTAGACTGGCTTTCTTGGGTAGGGAAGGAGGTTAAAGGATGGCCCAGGACCGTGCAGAGGTGGTTCCAGCTTGGGCTGGAGGCCCCACTGAGTGACTTCTAGGGACTCTCATCAGCAGGATTTCTATAGTGAAGCAGAGCTGGGGAACCGCCCACCAGGGAGGAACTAGCCTGGCGCTCTCCGGGTGCTGCTGTCATCAGAACCCGCCTCGCTCAGACGCGAGCCCCACCTCCGAATGCCGGGTGGTGGGAAGGCTAGCAGCCTGTGCAAAAGGTCCTTGGAGCCAGCAGGCTTCTGGAATAAAGTGGCTTCTCAGTGACTGGTGCCTCCCGGTTCTTTGTCCATCCCATAGACTTGCCGAGCCCGGGCGAGGGGCCCCACCTGGGCTCTTCCCTCTGCACCTTCAACCTCTTCTCCTGGTCTATCCCATCTGCTGCACGCTGGAATGGGTACAGGACTTCCTGTCTGACACCTGCAGAGAGGCAGAGCGGCTCACCCCACCTTCCCTTTGCAGCCACCGCTGATGGCTGTGGTCACTGCTCTGGGGACGACTCCTGAGGAGTCCAGTGCAGGATGAGCTCCCCACCCCCACCCAGCTGTAAAGGTGAGGGCACCGGTGTGTCCACCCTCCCCTGCAGCGGGGTTCAGTCCCAAGGCTGTGACTCCACCACCTGGGTGCACCCAGCTTGCGTGGCTGTTGTGCTAGTGGTGGCAGTGGCCGGCCACAGGTACCAGAGGTAGCAGTGGAGGTGGTTCCAGTGGCCGGGCCTGGACCAGCGCCAGGGCTGCCCAGTGTGGCAGCAGTGATGTTGTTAATATGTTTGGATGTTCTGTATGCTGGGCTGCTGCTTTTTTTTTTTTTAAGATTTATTTATTTATTCATTTGAAAGAGTCACACAGAGGAGAGGCAGAGAGAGAGAGGCCTTCCATCCGATGGTTCACTCCCCAGATGGCCACAATGGCTGGAGCTGCGCTGATCCAAAGCCAGGAGCTTCTTCTGGGTCTCCCACGTGGGTGCAGGGGCCCAAGGACTCGGGCCATCTTCTGCTGCTTCCCCAGGCCATAGCAGAGAGCTGAAGTGGAGTAGCCCAAGTAGTGGACTTGGGTCATCCTCTACTGCTTTCCCAGGCCATAACAGAGAGCTGGATCGGAAGAGAAGCCGGGACTATAGCCAGCGCCCGTATGGGATGCCGGCGCTTCAGGCCAGGGCGTTAACCTGCTGTGCCACAGCGTCGGCCCCTGCTGGGCTTCTAGGCCCCCATCTTTGGCACCCCCTGGAGAGAGGTTTCTGGGACCCTTCCCCCCTTATATCCTTTAAGGTAAGGTTTCTCAACAGCGGCCCACTGGTATTTTGGGCCAGATCACTCTTTGTTGTGTGTGCAAAGTGGGCTGTCCTGGTAGTAGTAGCATCCTGGCCTGTGCCCGCTGGGTGCCAGTAACAGTCCCCCAGTTACGACCACCAGAGTGTTTCCAAACATTGCTGTGTGTGTCCCCTGGGGACCACATACCCCCTCGTCCACAGCCCTTCTCCCAGACTCCCCAGCCACTGCCCACAGATCTAGGCGATGGTAGCCTGCCCTGGAGAGATGCTCCGAGCCTGCTGTCCTGATTCTCTGTCCTAAGGCTGAGCCTGCACTCCTTCTGCCTGAGTGCTCTTCCCTCACCTGCCCCTTTAAATGAGTTTTTGGGTTGAGTTTCTCCTCCTTGCTCTTTTCCTCTTGGGCAGGGCCAGCCCCTGGGAACTGTTGGCACCTGTCCTGTCACTGTCTGATAAGCCCGCTGCTTCTATTTCAGTGTATCCGAAACCACACTTGGTTCTCACCCTCTAACCTCACCGTCGGTGTCACACGGTGAGGTTCAGGCTCTTGGTTAATCCAACTGCAAGGCTTCCTGGAGGAAGTGATACCTGAACTGAATGTGCTGAGAGACAGGGGGAGGCAGGAAGAGGAAGAAGGGGACAGGAGCTGTGACAAAGGCCTGAGAGGGGAGAGGGTGAGAGGAAGTGAATGAGAAACATAACACAGAGTTCTTTGAGACCTGTACTGCGGAGACGTAGTGGCCACCTGTCCAGCCGCTCCGTCCTCAGGTGGAGAACCGGATCCTGAGGAGTGACTAATCCAAGGCTGCTCCTCCCCACCCTGTCCTCCAGCCAGAGCAAGGTGCCGCCTGAAAGAGACGTCCAGTTAGGTGGGATCCAGGGCCCGAGCCGAGGGATAACGTCCATGTTCTGCAGAGGTTCAGGTCCTGTGCAGCTGCCAAAGGCCAGCCACTTGGTCAGGTAGCACAGCCCGTGGGCAGGTGCAGCCGGAGCCACGGGAACAGCCGTCAGCAGGAGTTCCTTGGGCTGCAGGGTGGAGGCCCGGATCAAAGGGAGTGGCCTGGGAGTTGCTGCTGTCCTGTGCCAGACTGGCAGACCGGAGTCCTGACACACAGGTGCAGGTAGCACCCTCAGCTCTGGGCCAGGCCCAGAGCAGGGCAGCAAATCTCAGTCTTGTGTGTTCCGGGGTGAGAGGGCTGTAGCATACCCCAGAGCTCCTGCATGCAACAGTAAAGAGCATGCCCAGCTTCCCCAAAATAGCACCTACGTGCTTCTCCTTAGTTGTGCATGTGTGTTCTGAGAAGTAGTTTAGACATTACTGAAGCACAGGCAGCAAGGAAAACTCACCCCAAACCCCACCACTCCCACAGCCACGACTGACAGCCAGCTGTGGGGCCTGCCTGCCTTCCCTCCCTCCTTGTGTGGGCACTCACTGTGTGCCAGGAATCATGCCAAGTGCTGGCTGGCAGCGCCTCCTGCCTCAGGGCCTTTGTCTTTCCGTCTGCTCCCCTGGCCACACCACAGGCCGTCGTCTTATCACCTTAGATTTCATCTTCAGTGTCATGCCAGAGGCTTCCTGATGGCCCAAGTCAGCTCCCTTGTCGGTTACTTTCCCTCGGTCAGTTCTACCCTCATGTTTATATTTTTTATGGCTGATGTCTCTCTCAAAAATTTATTTATTTGAAAGGCAGAGTTACCAAGAGGAAGAGAGAGAGAAAGATCTTCCATCTGCTGGTTCACTCCCAAAAAGTGGCCACAGCCACTGGGGCTAGGCAAGATCAAAGCCAGGAGCTTCTTCCAGGGCTCCCACGTGGGTGCAGGGGCCCAGGCACTTGGGCCATCTTCCACTGCTTCCCCAGGCCCATGAGCAGGGAGCTGGGTCGGTGATGGAGCAGCCAGGACTCCAACCATTTTCCATACGCTGGGTGCCATTGTCGCAGGAGTCGGCTTTCCTGCTGTGCCACAACGCTGGCCCTAATGTCTGTGTCCCTGCCCCCAGACTGGAAACTCCGAGGCCACACACCGTGTCGTTCCCTTCCACAGTGTTCAGTAAATACTGTCAGTGAACATGTGAATGAGCTCACTAAACTTCGCAGCTCTGACGGATAGCGGCCCCTATTTCAGAGATGACAGAAACTGAGGCTTAGAACAGTTAACACCAGCCCGCCTCTGTCTCCACCTGGGTCCTCTTTCCTCTTGGTCACTCAGCAACAACCGCTCTCACCAGCTCACCAGAAAACTTGGGCGCCGTGTGCATCACTATATTGTGACAGCCTTTTCCATAAATATGCATTTATGCGTGTTTGTGTTTTCATTTTGTGAGGCCATCCATTCCCTGGTTCGTTCCCCAAATACTGCCAGGCTGGGGGCCAAGCCAGGATAGGGGAACTCAATCCAGGCCTCTCCCACTGGAGTCAGCAGCCGGGCCTGGAACCCAGGCATCCTGACCCTGGGCCTAACACCGGCCCCGGGAGCGGCCCCTTCAGTGGGGGAGTGGTACTGTATCCAGTGATTGCGGTTTATCTGATCCCTTACCCGGCTCTCAGTGTTTCCCTTAGCGCTTCCTGGAGCGCGGGTACCGCTACCCTTGGGAGAAATTCCTAGACGCTCGCACGTTGCTTACAACGTGCGCAGCTCGCTGCAGGGTGCAGCGGGAAGCTGGGAGTGGGAAGTCCAGGGTGGGCTGCACGTCAGCCCCCAGGAAGCTCGCGCGCTGCAGGGATGCTGAGGCGCCTGGGGAGCGGGGACCGCCGCAGGTGCAAAGGCGCGGAGGCTGTAAAACGCAGCCCCGCCGCGCCTCGGCGCAGGGAGCCCGGCTTAGAGGACCTCGACTCTTTCCTGGGCTGGGGGCCCGGGGCCTGAGTCCACCCGCTTTCCCAGGTCCGGGCGCGGCGGCTGGGAACATGACGTAATGGGCTCGGGGTGGGGTGGCCGCGGGTGGGCGTTAACCCTTCAATCCCGGAAGGGTGCCAGGGGCTGCTTCGGAGCCGATCCCACGGAAAAGGGAGAGGCTCCTTTAAGCCAGGAGAAGGAGGCTGGGCTGAGGCCCCGGCCGCCGCTCCGCGCATTCGCTCCCGGGCCGTGAGGGGGCGGACCTCGCTATGCAAATCTGAGCTGCTGATCGCTGACGCGCCATCACCCCACGCGCCGCTTCGCGAGCCGATTGGTGGAGGCGAGCCTGGTCCCATTGACAACAAACAAGGGGGCGCGCGGCTGGGGGCGGGGCCTCAGAGGGCGCGGGCTGGGGCGGGGGAATCCCGCCCCGCCCCTTCCGCGCGGCGCCGGGGCGCAGCGCAAACATGGCGGCGGCTGGCACTGGCCGGTGAGGCGGTGCCGGGCGGGGGTTGTCGGGTGTCATGGGCGGTGGCGACGGTACCGCCCCCGCGAGTCCCTGAGCGGGAGGGCCGGGGGACTTCTGCGCCGAGCCGGGCGATGGACGAGAGCGGCGAGCTGGGCGGTCTGGAGACCATGGAGACGCTCACGGAGCTGGGCGACGAGCTGACCCTGGGGGACATAGACGGTGAGGGGTGGGTGGGCGGTGGGTGGGCGCGCGGGGAGGAAGGGGTTACGGCGGCGTGCGCGGGTGCGGGTGCGCGTGCGCCCACCCCTCGACCGTCCCGGCTCGCGCGTGAGGCGCCCCGCGCGCGATCGCCGCGGCGGCCCCCGACCCTCCCGGCGCGACGGCTGTGAGTTCGGGCCCCGGCGCTCCGCCTCAGGCAGCCGTGGGTTACGGGAGCCGTGGGCCTCGGGACGCGGGGCCGGGGGCGTCGCTGGGAGCCGCTGGCGGCGAGCGCGCGGCCGCCGCCTCCCTCGCGCGCCCACACGTGCTGCCTGCGGCTCTGTTCTCCCGCCGCGCGAGGCCCCGCGCCGCACCTGTCACTCCCCGCCAGACCGCAGGGACGTCTCCCAGGCTTCCTGGCCTGTCGGGGACTGACCCACGGCCGGGACGCCCGGCGAAACTGCGGGCAGCCGCTGCTGGAGCGAGCGGTGGCGGCGGAGGC